GCACAGACGATGATAAAAAGGGTATTGAAGACACGCCACTTTCGAGCATCGGCGCACGGCGGCGATTATACATATAGTCATGTTAAATATGTACATAGGTGTGTATATATATGTGTGTGTATGCATGAATGCAGGTATGTATGTATGCATGTATGCATCCATGTGTGTGTCTGTATGTACGTATGTTGGAATGTACGTGTGCATGTATGTACACATGAAGACACATGCATACACACCAGTAATGAACAAGGTTGTGGACACGGAGGACTAGTTGGCGTCGGTGAACAAGGACATGGATATTGTCTTGCGCTGGGTCTCACCAGTAGCATTTGCTCGACCCTGGGTCGCAAATGCGATGCCCGCTGTCGCTCCTTCGGGATGATGAGCAGGAGACAGTTTAGCGGCGTTTTCCAGTGGAGCGTCCTTGCTGCAACCTCTGTTCGCCGACCTGTCCCCTTTGCCATCGGACACGGTTCAAGGATCCACCCCTCCATCCCTCCCCTGTTTCGATTTCTCACGCGATACGAATGCGACGGATCATCGTTCCTCCCTTGACCACGTTCCGTTTTTGACCCCAGCATGCCCGCGTATGTTTTTCGTTGTAGTTGTATATCCTAGGGTTTTTTAAGCCGTTTGTTGGATGAAAGGGTTCTACGTTTGGACAGCGTTATGTGTTCTACGGTATTTCATCCAGAGTCGGTGGCCCTTGGTCTCCTGTGTGGTATCCCGGATGGTATTCCGTTTGGGCTACTGTATGATTTTGTTTGTGATCTTACGTTTGGTGTTTTGCATGTACAATCCAGCATGTTGTTGTCTTCCATTGTTTCAGTATCCCGTTTCGGGTCGTTTGCCGCCAGGTTATATATCGTGTCGTATGGAATTGTGTTTGTTCCTCGCACCCCCTAGTGCTGCACATTAGTTTGTTGTACAGTGGGTGCATGTTGCCCGACTGGCCTGCGCGTGCGCCGTCTCCGCGACAAAAATATCTGTGTCGTTCTCTAACGATAGTGTCTGGCCGTTCCGGACTACACTCCCGCTCTTGGGTGTGCAATTTTTTATTGTATCGAATGGCCTTCGGTCCATCGCGCCTAGGTCTGAGATAAGGGGCCTCGTCGAAGCCTATTGGGAGGACTCCCGAGGGGGTCCTTGGGGGCGTTTGGGAGATTCCGTTGGGGCCTATTGGGACGTCTGCGGGCCATCTTATCGATATGCAATAGACGTTTTGTTGATACCGCCCACAAGCGGAATCAATGTCTGTAGAGCCAGCACAAGTTCTTTCGATCCGAGAGACGAGAGAGGACCATGCCAAGTAGAGAGCCCCCATTCCCGAATGCATAACATAACAACACGTCACCCAGAGACGTACCTTTCTGAACATACGGCGTAACTATATACATAGATGTGCATATGCATATATGGGGGCACTCAGCACGAACAAACATGTTGAAAGACCCGCAGTGCGCATGAGCTCCCATAAGTGCGCATGAACACATACAGGAATAGCAAGATAGAGACGGAGACGGAAGCAAACGGAGGAGTTTGAAGGAGGGATATACATGTTTAGTGACAACAACACCGCCGAGCGCTACATGCGTGGGACAGAACAGCGCCATGCGTTCTGTAGCAGAACAGCGCGCCGCGCTGAGCGAGGCAGGCGCACGGGAGCCGTGAGGTCTCGACGGGTTGTGCGTGCTTGCCAGCACCGTTGGGCCTTCAGGAGCCCACGAAAGTGGGGACAGTTGCGCAACTCGCAGCCAGGGCGCCGCGAGGTCTCGACGGGATGTGCGTGATTGCCGACTCCGCTGGGCTTCCCGGGGACCGGCTCTTCGTCCCGAGCCGTTGTGTGGACGGGCCCGAGGCCCAGCATGGGCCCCCAGAGGCGTAAAACGGCGGGAAGCCTCCCGTCGTGACTGCCGCATGGCTCGAAGGGGGTCCGGGGGGTTGCCCAAGGCGCGGTCGGGAAGAGGGGGGAAGCAGGCTGAGCTGGCCGCCCTCGCTCCCTCGAGCCAGCCTCTCGGGGCCCTTGCCGGGCCTCGGGACCGTCCAAAAACGCTTCGGGAGGAAAATTGAACCCGTGGTCGAGAGTCATTGTCACGGGGGGGGGGAAGCGGGCCTTGAGGGAAATGGGTCTTGCACCCTAGTGCCTTCCCCCAGGACGAGATCGCCATCCCGAGTCGTCTTCTGACAGTCCCGGGGCCCATGAAGGGCCCCCTGGAAGCCCCAAAATGGCGAGAAGCCACAGGACCCGTTTCCCTCAGGACCCGCTTCCCCCACGGTGACAGGCCGGGGTTCCCGGTCACGGAGAAGTCAAGATGCCAGATGCCTGGCCTTTAACCTCGGTGCAGGTTGGGAGGTTCGCCCTCGGCCAGGAAATAGGGCATGGCGCACGGGCAATTGGACGATTCGTCATGCACGCGTGTCTGGTGCAACTTGGCTGGGGTGGAGGAAGGAGCGGGGCGCGAAACGCATGCAGATGATGGAGCCCCAGGCAGATCCGCCGAGAAGGAAACGATATGTCGAAGCAGCAGCGCAGCCGTGGCAGCACACAGCAAGACGGATGAAGAGCCAGCGTGATTCGTGGTGGTGGGTCATCTTTGTGCGTACCATTGTGTGTTGATGCATGTTGCTGCCCATGGTTACGCAGTGCAGCGCAGGAGAAAAAGACAGCGCGTGTACTGAGCTGGTCTGGAGCACGTCCCCATGGGAAATAGCATACGCACTGCACCTACCCAGGTGCCCTGGCGAGAAAGAACCCGCGGATAGCGTACGGCAGGTCCTTGTCGTGACGACTTGTGCGCTGGTTTCTGATACCACGTGAATCATTCAACCTTGAACTATCTCAACTTTCCGACAGTGCAGCTCGTTTGATAAGGACCGACAACAACCCACTGAAGGCAGACAACCTTGAACGCCCTTGCCAGGGTCGCCGCCGCGTCCATGCGGCGCGAACTTGCCATTCACCTCACCTACCATGGCGAAAATGACCCCTCGGATGGCATACCAGCATCCTGCGCCTGTTCGAACCCGCCAAGCGCGGAACATGAGGACAGAGGCGGGGGGCGACAGCGCGAGACGACACAATGCACATGCCACCGACGCCACCGCCTACCCAGCAATCCGTCAGGTCTTTCCCCTACCGACGCTGTTGCGCGGGCCCCCCAGGGCAATGTCGTCATCGAGAGTTGGTGCGCCGCTGCCCCCCGGAGGCTTCTGAGATGTTCCATCGCGCGGCGCTCGCGCTGAGGCACCCTCAGACCGCATGGCTCCCTTCTGAGCCCGACCGACGCCTGAGCCCGCTCGGCCGCCGAACGGACTCGAGGTCGAGCCCATTTGGCGGCCGAGGGGACCCGATTGCAACGAGCCTGTCGGAACTGAGCCCGTTCGGCTGCCCTTGCGGCGGCCGAGCTCAGACGCCGAAGTGGGCGCCCTACCCCAAGAAAACCAGTATGGGCAGGCATTGCCGGGCACTTGATGTCCCGCCCAGCGGCCAGGCGGCAAAAATGCAGACATTTCGACCGTGCGCACGGCCGTGCGGCATGCCAGCAAGCCCGCGCGGGAGCCTGGCCCGCCCGACGGAGCGGCGGCGCGCGGCGGGTGGTCATGCAGCTGCCCGCAACCGCGCGTTGCGACGCAAGCGGGACAGCCCCCCCCGCTTCAGTCGATTTATGACTTGCAGTAACCAGTCATGACCGCCCGTAAATGCGAAACGCGTCGTGTTTCGTATGGTTACAAGCGCGGCCCGTACAAACAGTTTAACACGTGTTTGCACGTGCACATACCGAATCCAGTCCAACAGCATGTGTATATTGAGTGGTTTCGTGTTTGACCCAGTCTAATCAAATGCCCTCCCAATAGCAAGTGATCGCCTCTCAATAACAAGTAGCGGGGACCCACAGTTGAATGTTCCCCCGACCCGACCCGACCGCTAGTCCTTGAGGGACGCCCGATCGTCGGGGTCCGCCCCGCCCGCCCGTCCCGATCCGCCCGCCCGAGCTATGGCCCCGCGCGATAAAACGGTCCACGCGTTGGTGTGCCTGCTGTGATGTTCCACCAAATTTTCAGCAATCACTCCAGTCACGGCTTGTGGAGATATGCTAACAAGTTGCGCCTGGGCTGGACACCGAGAGCAAGCTATTAGGACATCGGGTCCGCATGCTGAGCGCCACAAGGTTGAGGGGTGGGGGGTAAACTCGTTTCCAACCAATGTGGGTCACCTTTTTGCCATACACATCGCGGATGAGGGGGGGTTCGTTATTCTTCACTTCTTTTTCCTCCTTCGCCCTCCGCTTGCCAGGACAAAGAGGTAAGGAACCGATAGGCGGGTTTACAGCGCCCCCTTTGTTGAAGGCACTCATAGAAGTTTCGGAGTGGCGAAGAGCAGAAGGGAGGCGCGTTCCCTCTCTGTCTCTCCATCCCCCTCGTCCTCTTCCCGTTCCTCCAGCATTGTGTCGTCGGCTTGTCAAAGGTCGGTGTCTTTCGTCCCGTATTAGTCGGCTTTCATCCGTGGTTTCATTTGGCTGGATCCAGTTTTGTAGCGCCCTCAGCATCGGTTCACCGGGTTTATCACCCTTTAGTTTGTCCCCCACGAGCACGTCCCACGAGTTCCCACGTATCCTCCCCCTCCCCCCCCACTCCCCCTCATGCCTTTCCCTCTGCCTCCCACTCGTCATCCTTCCCTCGCCCGCCCTGGCAGAATCCCTAGAATCCCCCCGCCCCTTCCACTCCCTCCCTCTCGTCAAGCTTGTGGTTTCTATGCCCATGTTTCCATGCGTGGGCTGTCGAAACCATGTTCCCATAAGCTTGACCCCCATCGTCGAGTTTATTTGAGTAGACTCGATGATGGATTGTGGCCGAAAGCTCTCAGTCAAGCTGAGCAGCTCTCTCGTGCCCTCTAATTCTTGAACCACTACGTGGGATAGCCTGTTATGTTCCTCCTCGCCTGTCCCCCTCCTTTACTTTATCCTCGTTCTTCCCCCCCGCGAGCCGGCGCGCCTGGTCAGTTCCCGATGATGCCTGCCCCGCAGCCGGGGGAGTCCCAGCAGCTCGCCGCTTACAGGGAGATCGCACACATGCAGGCAGAGCGGCCTCCCCCCCCCTCTGGGAGGAAGGATGGAGGGAGGGAGGGGGGGAAGGAGAGAGGAGGAAGGAGGAGGAGGGAGGAGGTTGGAGGCGAAGTCGGACGAGGAGGAGGATGAGAAATAGGAGGACGGAGCAGAGAAATCCAGGAATGTTGGGAACAGGAGGATAATGAGGACGGAGGAGTACGGAAGGGTGGAGACAGGGAAGGTGGGGGGGATGACGAAGAGAAATAGGAGAACTGGGAAGGGGAGAGGCGGAGGGATGGGGGGGGGGGTTAGGAGGAGGGAGTTTGAGGAGGGATGTATCGGGGGGGGTGATGAGGAGGGGGGCCCCCCTCCAAGCGCCCACAGAACGCCCCCTTTCCGATGTACTCGGGCCCGTTTCGCCTGAGGTATCCTCCGAACCTTGGGCTACTGCGAGATGCCCTGAGTTGAGGTGCTCTGGTCCATTTCGCTTGAGACGTCCTCACAGCTCTGGGTTCCAAGACGTGGTACGCGAGGTGCTCAGGCCCGTTTCGCCTGAGACATCCTCGGAATCCTTGGTTTCGAGATGCCCTGACTTGAGCTGACCCGGGTGTAAGTGCGCCACGCTTGAAGGCGATATTGACGGAGTGGTTGCTTGGGTTGCCCCCGGTGCTTGGGGGAGTTCGGAACCAATGGAAAGTGACAGAACGAGCGAGAAGTCACCATAAACGAGACATATACACATATATACATATACATATATTTATATACACATATGTATTTGAGGACGTCTCAGGCAGCAACATAAGGTTGAACAGCAACCGCCCTTCGCCCGTGCCACTGATGGGATGTTTAATGACCAGGCTGCGCGGCGCCCAGGCGAGAGTCCCCAGGCGAGAGTGTGCCGCAGTCAATCCGCGTAACTGGTAGGATGTGTCAAGGGGAGTGTGCGCGGCGTCGGAGCGATAGCAACATTCTGAAAGCAATTTGACATGTAGCTGTCAAAAACTTTGAGATTCCAGATTGCAACCGGTGAAGAAATCTCAGGCGAAACGCCTGGCCCGCCGCAGCCCATCCCGCCACCGTGCCTGGGTTGTGGGTCTCATGCATCTTGGATGCTCGTCGGGATCTCGCCGAGGCTTCTCGGAGGCCTGGAAGCAGTTTTGAGGCCTCTGGGGGGTTGTTTCGGGTCCTCTTGGGGCCTCGTGGGGTCCTCTTGGGTGACTTGAGGCCTCCTGGGGAGTTCCGGAGGCAACTGCTTGAAATTTCAATTCGGGTCTCCCGCTTGGGCCCCCTCTTGAAGTCGTTGAGGGGGTTGCCTGGGCCGTCCTGGAAACCTCTCGGGCAGTCTTGAAGCTGAAGCCCTTTCGGGCCGTTATGCAGCTTCGTGGAGGCCGTCTTAGGGCGACCTTGAACGTCTTTGAGGCCATGAACAACCTGACATCTATGTAGCTGTCAGATTCTTCGAGCTTCCACATTGCAAACGGTGAAGAATCTTAGGCGGAACACCTGGCCCGCCGTAGCGACAAGTTTCGTTTTGCGTTAGGGAGGAGTTATCCATGAGGAAGGGGGTGCGTCCGCCTCTCCCCTCTCTTTCTTTCTTTCTCTCTCTCTATCCCCCACTCTCCAACGTCCCACCTCGCCTTGCCCTCCTCACGCATCACCCATGTCCCCCCTCCTCCGTGCTCCCTCTGTCCTCCCCCGCTCCCTTCCCCCTCCTCCCTCCGCATCCATCTCTACTTCGTCCACCTCACCGTCGGCGTCCTCCTCCCCTTCTCTCCCCCCTCCCTCCCTCCCTCCTACTGTTCCTATGTAGTCCATTTCTACGCCCTCGTTCCAAGCTTCATCTTCCATGATCCCCCCCTCGCCCATCGCTCTTCTGGAACTGTTTCGGCTCAAGCTCAAACAAGGCTTGGTTATTCCACTTTTGTTGCGGTGCTGCCGTCAGCATTGCAATACCTTCTGCTTAAGGAGCCGTCACTGTAGTGCTTCCTTTTGCAGGCCATATGCGCCAGCCTCTGTGCCCTGATCCTGGGATGTCCTCGTTGCTGCTGCCAATTCAATGCCCTCCCCCCCTGCGGGGAATTCGGAAAGATGGAGGCAGGGGAGAGGAGGAACAGTTGAATCTGAGGCAAGGGGGGGTGCGAGGAGGACGAGGAGAATGGGCAGGAGAAATGGAGGACGCGGAGAGAGGGTGGTGACGACGCCGACCAGGAGGAGGCCGAACAAGGTGGGGGGCATTGGATAGGGTTGGGGGGAGCCGCGAGGACTCCCGAAGTCAAGCCAACAGCGTACGTGTTAAGTGGTTCCCCCGTGACGGAGACCGGCCAGGGCTTCGCGTTTATTGGAATCCGTCAGTCAGCCAAGCACCTCTGCCTGGAGGAGCGCAAGCTGAGACGTCGGCGGCCTTCCCGATCAAGGAGGAGGAGGAGGAGGAGGAGGAGGAGGAGGAGGAGGAGGAGGTGAGGCAGGGAGGAAGTGGTGGGAGGTGCAGGGAGGAGCCGCGATGTGGAGGAACACCAGCAGCAGGGAGGAGGAGGAGGCGGAGGAGGAGGAGGAGTGAAAGGAGGAGGAGGAGGAGAAGGAGGCGGAGGAGGAGGAAGAGGAGGAGGAAGAGGATCAGCAGCATTGAGGAGGGAGGAGGCGGAGGAGGAGGAGGAGGAGGAGAGGAAGAGGAGGAGGAGGAGGAGGAGGAGGGGCATCAGCAGTAAGAAGGGGGAAGCATCAGAAGCAGGGAGGATGAGGAGCCTCAGCAGTGGGGAGCAGCAGGGAGCACGGCCAGGCGCAGGGAGGAGCAGGGAGGGGGAGTAGGAGCAGGGAGGAGGACGATGAGCATCGGCCGCAGGGAGGAGGAGGAGGAGGAGGAGGAGGAGGAGGAGGAGGAGTAGGAGGAGGAGGAGGAGCTTGGAGGAGGAGCTTGGAGGGTAGCGTAAAGTGGAGGGCCACCGCTGCCTCTGCCGGCCCGCCCCTCCGACCTGCTCGTCTTCCTGCACGGCGGCGGGCTGTTCGGGCCCGCGACGCCCTGCGCGGCCGGGTTCTGCCGCTCCTGCGCGCGGGGCGGGAGGGTCTGCGTCATGGCGGGCCCGGGATCCCAGATCCGCTTCGCTGTTCCTCCGCCACCTCTCTCCTTGTCGTGACCCCTTCTCCCTCCCTCGGCCGCCTCCTGCTCTCCTTCCCTCCTGATTCATCGGTTCCCTCCTTCTGCCCCGCCTCTCCAGTTTCCCCTGCCCTTCCTCAGTCCTTCTCCTCGCTCCATCCATCTTCCCTACAGATACGTACGGTTTCCCTGTCGCAGCCCCAGACGTGTCGGTAGGGCGGGCTGGGTGATTTGTTTGAGACTTCTGCTTCATTTATTATCTTGGATATTGAATCGGGCAGCAGTTGTACGGATGGAGGTATGGTGGTTTTCAGAGTTCTAGACGCTTCGCGTAGCCACACCAGTCTTCCCGCCTGCGACAGCACCGGCTTGCGCTCTTTTCGCGACCTCCAGACGCCGCGCGGGTGCCCGCTCGCAGTTGCGATCAAAAAAGTAACCACACCAGCCCATCCAGAAACGATGCCCAGGCGAGGCGCCCAGGGGGCCTCTTGGAACGTGTTGGGTGCCGCGGGGATCCTCTTGAGACTTTTTTGGGGTCTCTTGGGGGCCTCTTGGAGGAATCTTGGGCGCCTCTCAGGGCCGTCTGGGCGCCTCTTGGGGCCTTCTAAGGGCGCTCTTGGGAGCTTTATGGGCGGGACTGCGGCGCCTGCGTGGCGGGACTGGCGGCGTGGCGTGCCTGCGTGGCGGGACTGGCGGCAGAGTCTCTGCCCGCAGTCGCGCTCGCTGCTTAGTGTCTGGCGGGGCGGGGCTGCCCGGACCCCCACCCGCCGCGGACGTGGCAAGGGCACTGCGGCTTGCCCCTGGTGCCCGGAGCTGTTGTGCTCGGCGCGGCACCTCTGGGCCGCCTGCCCGCGGTTCGACGACGCCCGCGCCCGGTTCGGCGCCGAGGTCGGCATCCCGGCAGGCTGGTGGAGTGCCCAGCCGCGTGTCACGGCCAAATCCGGCTGGGTCACTTTTGGCGCCGGGCCCTCGGTCGAGCGCCGGGCCCCGGGCCCAGCTGCAGGTCGCGGCCTGCCGCCTTGGCCTCGAGATCTTTCGGGCTACCCCTCCTCCCCCTCCCGAGGCGTCTGGCGCCCGCTCCGCGGACGTGCTGGCCGCTGCGGCGGCGGTGGTGGCGGCGTGGGGTTCCCCGGCAGGCCCCGGCGGCGGCCTGGACGGCGGCCCCGGCGACGGCGGCCCGGCGGGCGACCCCGGCGGCGGCCCCGGCGGCGGCCCTGGTGACGACGACCTCCAAGACGCCGACGACGATCGCAGTGACGGCTTCCCGCGCCCCTCTGGTGGCCCCCTCCCGGTGGATGGCCCTATTGACGGCGCCGTACAAGCCTCCCAGCGGGGCGATTCTGGCCAGGCTGGGGCGGCCCTGGGTTTGGCGGCGACGCGGCGTCCTCGCGACGAGGCGGCCGGGGAGAGCCCGCGGCGGACCAGGCTTCGGCGGGACGGCGACGACCCCCGTGCCCTCCACCATCCGCCCCCCGGGTCTGCTGGTGGTGGTGGTCTAGGTGGTCCCACACGCGCGGCGCCAGCCGCCGCGTCGCACGGCCAACGATTCACGACCCCTTGCGGTCGCTTGCCTAGGCGTCGGCTCCCTACGTCCGCCCGGCGCCCAGACCAGCCGGCGTTGTCGTCCGCGCTCAGCGCGGCGACGCGCCTCTTCCTTGACTTTTCTTTTTTAGCAGCCAAGACACAGGCATCTTGCTGCTGTGCATTCTGTGTGGAGCTTTATGGGCGCTCTTGGGGCCATTTTGGAGGACATCGATCAAACATGATCGGGGCTCCATTTAGCGTCGCCCAGTGGGAGCCCCTAGCATCGTCTCTTAGGTCGCTCTTGGGGCGCTCTTGAGAGCGCCCTTGGGGCCATCTTGGAACCACATTGGGGCCTCCGATGGCCATCGGACGCGAAATTGCGAGACAGCGAACAACATTGATGTTCCTGAGG